TACTGCCCGACAGCCCGATTTTGCCCGCCACCAGGGTGAGATTGGCCACCGTGGCCGCCAGATACAGCTGGAATTTCGTCTTGACCTACCGAAGTAGTACGGGACTGGCGGATGCCCAGCTGGACCAGCCGGGCCAATCGGTGCTCCACTACCACCCGTCGCGCTCGATACTCGTCGTAGTCGGCACTCTGCTGCACGCTCGAGCCTGTGCTGTAGGAGGGCTTCCTGGGGATGGATCAGCACCCGCCGACCCTTCCGCCTTGGGCCGCGATGCACTGGGAGCGCAGCGGACATACCCACATACCGCCCGTCGAACTGGAAAGCCTGCATCGGTAGACACGACCGGCGCCATCCGTCCGCTTTCCCGCCGGCACGATGGCGCCGGTAACCTGCCCCGCCGGACAGGTGCAACTGCCCGCGGCCAGGTCAAGGTGAAAGTCATTTTTGGGGAAGTGTTTCCGGTCGGGCCGGCCCGGCACTTTGGCCACCAACCGGCGTCCCGCGTCGGCGAAGGTCTGGCGGGTCCCGCCGTCCCCATAGGCGGCGTCGCCCATGGCTTCGTCCACCACCGAGCCGGTACTCGCTTCACTCTGCTCCACCAGTTCCAAGGCCCCCAGATTGTCGGGAGCGTTGCCGGGCAACACGTCCACCGCCGTGATCAACTGGGAGTCGGTGTCCACCACGATGGCCGCCTTGTGCCCGTTGAAGCGCCGCCGGCTGCTCTTGTGTCCGTGGCGCAGCTCCGGGTCATGCACCGACAGCATCCGGTCCTTGCTCACCCCATCCCTGATGCTCACCCCGTCATCAGCAGCATCAGCATCGCCATCGCCGCTCTTGCGCTCGACGTCCTGGAGCAGCAACTGTCCCAGCAACTCCGCTCCAGCCACTATGCTCTGCCGCTGGACGCTGTCCTCCGGCAATTCCACCCACGCCTGTCGCGCCAGTTCCAGCAGCCGGTCCGCATCGGCCACTATCTCCCCCAAAAGCTTCCGCCGCGCTTTGCGGTCCGACCAGTCAATCACCGCCTCGCCCTTGATGCTGGAGCCCAGAGTACCGCTCGTACCCCTGACCTTCGGCCCATTCCCCGACCGCGATGTTCGCCACGGTCGCCAGGACACGCAACAGTTTGACGATGCCGTCCGCCAGCAGATTGTAGGTGTCCTTCACCGCGCCCCGTCCCAGGATGTAGGTCGTGTCCAGCGCCACCCGCATCCCACGCTTTTTCAGGTAGCCCGACTGCCGAGCCAGGCGCAGGCTGCCCTCGAATACCTCCCGCACCTTGTCGTGCAGTATCAGCTGCGCCCGGAACATCTGCAGCGTGCTCTTGGCAAAGGGTCTATCCTCAATCTCAATCCCCAACGCCACTTTCCACCGGATGTCGAAGTCAGCCCTCGCCTTGGCCTCGGCGTCGCTCACCTTGTCGTAGGTCTGCAACAGCAGGGCCGTGGCCAGCAGGCTGGGCGGCACGCTGTCCCGTCCATTGTCCGGACAGTAGATCTCCGCGAAATCGTCATCGCTGAACAGCTGGCCCCGCAGTGAGGCCAGCAAACCGTAGAAGGTGTCCTGGCCCACGTAGTCCAGATACAACCGGTCCGCTTCCCACAGGCCCTTTTGGTCCGAACGCTTCCCCAGCATTGCCCTGCTCCGCTAGCCTCGATTGCCCGGAGATAACCGCTCGCCATAATCCGGTCGGTTTCCGGCCAGCTTTCTAGGAACCAGGCTTCCATGAGCTGCACCATGAAAAAGGCATGGTTGGCGTGGCCAATCTGTGAGGCTATAAGGGTAATCTGTTGGTCTGAGGCTTCCCCTTCTGTGTCAATGAGTAGCAATGATTCCGAATCTTTGGCGCATCGCTTGATCGCTTCGCTACGCGGCCCGCAGGGAATTACTTTGAGGTCAAGGCGACTTAGTCCTGTTGCTCTCCGGATAAATTGATTCATATGAACACGTAGGTGTGTGCCACCTTCCAAGTACAACCGCATACTATTACCACCTGGTGCCGCCGGCAGCGCCGGTCATCCATACTTCGCCAAGCCGGTAGTCATCCAGCCAATCTGCAAGCTGGTCGGTGGACAGACGGTGAAATTGGGTGCCTGCTGCGGCATCTCGCTCGCACACTACCACCAGCTCCGGCTCGTCGGAGAATTGGTTGACCAGCTCCGGCGAGTGGGTAGTGACGATAATTTGAGTACGCTGAGACGCAGATCTGAGTAGTTCGGCCAATATCGACATAGCGTCCGGGTGCAGAGCGATTTCCGGCTCTTCTATGCAGATTAGTTCGGGTGGTTTCGGATGGCACAAAACTGCCAGCAGCGCAATGAACCTGATAATGCCGTCGGACAGCCGCGTTGCCGGCACCACGCTGGATATTCCCACTTCATTCGCTGCTAATTGGATGGTGCCGCCAAAGATGCGCGGATGCAAGCGGTCATAGGAGTCGTAGAACTGATTGAGGTAGGCGTCGATAGACGGCTCCAGCCTATATCCTTGCAGGTCATTCACCACCAAGGCCAAGTTCTTGAAGTCCTCCTCCAGAAAGTCGATGGCGCCGTCAGTTGCCTGGGGACGTCGTGCCGGGCTGTCACGCCCAACGTTCCAGCTCCGGTACAGTTTCATCGAGGAAAATCTGCGCGCAGTCTGGGTAAGCACCGGGAAGTTCACCGGGTCTCGTATCTCGCTCAGCACTGATTTTCCCGGGGCGATGTCGTTGGGGGTCAATCTGGTTTGAATGGCGTCAGCGGCTTCATCCTGCTCTCTCTGCTCGTAGTCACTGGTAGCCGCCTCCTGGCCTCGTGAAGGCGAAATCCGCCCGTGCCCTCCTTCAATAGTAAAGAAGAAGTAAGGACGCAAATGCCAGGGTTGGTACGGACGAAGATTTTCCAGCTTTTCTGTAACCACTTCCAGACGTTCGTTGCTCTCAGCAACCCGGAGCTGATAGTTGAGAGGCATATCCGACGTTTGACTCGGATTCCGGAGCTCTGCTGATACTTCAGCGATGGGAGAATCCAGTCCTGGAGCATAGGCGCCTTTCCAAATCCAGTCCGCAACAGGGCCGTTATGCCTGAAGAATCCAGCGAGATCATCCGGTATGGCCTGCAACAGCGCTATGGTCTCAACGAAGTTGGACTTACCCGATGCGTTAGGGCCTATTAGCACATTCAATGGCCGGAGGTCCAGCCTGACATCTTTGAACGAAAGGATGTTCTTGAGGTGTAGCGTGTTGATCAGCATAGTAATCTCACTGTCCTCGGTGGGCTAGTTAGTAGTGCATTTGCCTGCGCCTATTATACCGGGTCGCTATTTATCGGTCTGGCCGGGGGCAATATCCTCGTAGAGAGTAGCCAGGGCGGTGGCCAGGGCGTGGGGGCGTTCGGCGAACTCTGGAGTTGGATACCATTCGTAATCGAAGCTACGAACCACCACGCCATCTATGCTGGTTCTGAGGTTGGATACGATGACGCGAAACCCCACCACGTTGGATGCCTGTTCTGCGAGTTGCTCCAGGATAACGTTGGGGCAGTCGAAGATGACCATGAACCCGCCCTGCCGCTGCCCGTTGGTGACGCGACCACGAAACACCTTGCCGGAGAGATCCATTTCGACAATGGTGTAGCGCCGCTCCTCGGCCCCGTGGTCGGGCCAACCGATGTAGATGTCGCCGCCGACGGCCCAGTGGTGCATGGTATCGGAACTCCCGGTGGTGGGATGGCGTCCATCCTAACGACAGCCGGCGTGGGGCGCAAGAAAGGACCGGCGACGACCTGGGCCTGCTGATTGCCGGCGCCCGTCTGGGCGGTCGAATAATGACGATCCCGTCGAAGCAGGCGAGCCCGTCGAAGCATGGGTAGGCAGCCGTTTCGATAGGCTCGAATTGATCCTTCGACAGGCTCAGGATGAGTTGGCTATTCAGGCAGATAGTCGAAAGTTGCTGCGACCGGTAGGTGGCTACCGCTGCTGGCGTTCCTCGCGCAGGGTGATGAGCGCCAACGGAACCGACGAGACAATCACCAGCAGAAGGGCCGGCGCCGCGGCGCGGGCGAAGAACGCCTCTTCCGCCGCCGCCCAAACTGACGACGCCAGCGTGGTGAAACCAATCGGGCTCAGGATGAGCGTGGCCGGCAGTTCCTTCATGGTCAGCAGGAATACCAATGCCGCCCCGGTGAGAATACCGGGGCGAATCAGCGGCAGGGTAACCGTAAACAATACCGCCAACGGCGGTTTGCCCAGGCTGCGTGCAGCTTCTTCTACCTGCGGACGAACCTGTGACAGTGAGGTTCGGAGCGACCCGACGGCGGCCGGCAGGAAGAGTGTTACGTACGCCACCGCCAGCATCGCAATGGACTGGTACAGCCACTGAGCATAGTTGGCTCCGAAGTACACCAAACCCAACGCGATGACGATTCCAGGCAGAGCGAATCCGACAAACCCCAGCCGCTCCAGCCACCTGCTGAACAACCCAGGGTAACGCACGACCAGCACGGCGATTGGCGCAGCGCACACTACCGTCAGCGCCGCCGCCATCACCGACACGGCCACCGAGTTTGCCGCCGCCCGCCACAGCAGAGCCAGCGGTTCCCCGGCGGCCACTCCCCGCACCGTCCAGAACACCAGCACGCCCACGGGCAATCCCAACGCAACCAGCGCGGTCAGTCCGCAGTAGACGAGAGCCGGCCAGCGCCAGTGTCCCAACGGCACCACCTCCGGGAGACGCGTCGCACCAGCGCCGCTGCGATAGTAACGCATCCGACCTCGTGCAGAGTGCTCGCCCCAAACCACGGCCAGCGCGAGGGCGATCAGCGCCAGCGACCACGCCGCGGCCAGGGTGCGATTCAGAGCCGAGCCATACTGGACGAAGATACTCCAGGTGAAGGTTTCGTAGCGCATCATGGCCACGGCGCCAAAGTCGCTCATGGTGTACAGCGCGGTGAGCAGTCCGCCGGCCAGTATCGCCGGGCGCAGCATCGGCAGGGTTACCCGCCAGAAGGTTTGCCAACGGTTGTGGCCCAGCGCCCGCGCTGATTCCTCCAACGCTGCATCGAGATTCCACAGGGCCGCCCGCACGGTCAGCAGGACGTAGGGAAAACTGATTATGATGAGGGTGAACGCCGCGCCCGGAAAGCCGTAGATGCTGGGCAACCGTTCCACGCCAAAGGCGACTTCCAGCCAACCTTGCAGGATGCCGCGCGGCCCCAACCCGATGGCAATAGCAAACCCCACGATGTAGGACGGCAACGCCAGCGGCAGCATGGTCGCCACCCTCCAAAACCCGCGCCACGGCAGGTCGGTGCGCACGGACAACCACGCCAGCGGAACGGCGATGACGATGCAACCCACCATAACGGCGGCCATCAGGGACAGCGTGCGCAGCACCACCCACAAACGTGCGTGTGCGGAAAATCAGCTCGGCGGCATCAGGGCCGACTCCGGCGGTGCGGATGGCAAGGTACACGGGGGCGATCAGCAGCAGGGCAGCAATGACCAACGCCGGCAGCCAGATCACCGCCGGCGGTCGTGCGGTGCCCACGAATAGGTGTCTGATGACAGAGTGTGGGGTAACGGGGTTCAGCATGGATGGGGTCGGAATTACACGATTGGCGGGTTCGGACTCAGCCTGATTTTTCACCGGGAGACGGTTTGCGTAAAGTGTCATGGCATTGTGGGCCGAGGGTGGCAAGCTCGAAACGGGTTGCCAAACAGGTGGGACCGAGTGACCGCGTCCAACGGGATTGCCGCTTCGCTCCTCGCAATGACCGGTGTGGCAGGGTTTCGTTGCTATGACGGGTTAGGCGGAAGTCCGGTTGCATTGACGGGTTGCGCAATTGCCTCCGGTTGGGACGGAGAGTTGGGACGCTGCTATGTCTTGGGTTGATGGTATCAAAGTTATACTGGCCTCGCCGGGAGGAGGGTTCCGGCGGGGCCAGTGGCCTGAGAATAGGCGGGTCGGGGTGTTGCCGCCGCTATGGCAACGCTCCAACTTTTTGCAGCAAGGTTTGCGTACCGGCCAGGTCCGACAGATCGGCCAGGGTAATGTCAGGCTGAGCGATGTCTGCGAGCGGGGTTAGCAAAACGGACGGCCGGACATCTGCCACCAATGGGTATTCGAAGGTTGAACCGGCGAAATACTGCTGACCCACCTGGCTCAACAGGAACCTGATGAATTGCTCGGCGTTCTCCGGGTTGTCGGCAGTGTTCAGTATGCCAGCCCCTGAAACTAGGACGATAGAGCCGGGCCCGCCGGCGCGCAGGTGGGCATTGCGGGCCGGGAAGTCTTCGCCCTCTTCGGCCAGGAACTGGTAGCAGGTAGTAGTGGTTGACCAGCCCGACATCGATCTCCCCGGATGCCGCCGCTGCAACCTGCGGGGTGTTCTTCGGATAGTCCTTCACGTCGTTGGCCAGCATCGCTCGCAGCCATTCCTCGGTACGCGCTTCATCACCCAGGCGACTCGGAGCGCCGTAACCATTGCCTGGAACGAGCCGTTGGTGGGCGCCCATCCGACGCGGCCTTTCCACTCAGGCTGCGTGAATCCCCACAGATCGTCGGGCAGATCAGCTTCGCTGAGGTTGTCGGTGCCATACACCACCACGCGGGCCCGGCCGGTAATGCCGACCCAATGGCCGGCGGACGAACGTGCCCACTGCGGCGTCAACTCGATGATGTCGGCCGGCAGCGTTGACATCATGCCGGACACGGCGGCGAGGCCACCGGGGTCTTGCGCGTAGAAAACATCGGCTGGCGAGTTGTTGCCCTCTTCCAGCAACGTGGCCGCCAGCTGGCCGGTGCTGGCATATTTGACCCGCACGTCGATGCCGGTCGCGCCCTTGAACTGCTGAATGATGGGATCAACCAGGGACTTGCTCCGACCAGAATAGACGACCAGCTTGCCGGGGTCTTGCCCTGATGCAGATTCCGTCACCAACCGGGTCACCTCAACTTCCCGCGTAACCTCCACCGGGGCAACCGGATTGCCAGCGCACGCCATCACGGCGATCGCCAGCATCGCAATGAACGCGAAGGGCACGACGTGTCGGTTACTGCGCCAAACGTTCGAACCGACTTTCATCTTGCCAATCTTCATCATGCAACCTCCAGCGCTCGTCCAGGAATTCCGCATCTAGTTGTTTGATACGACACCGCGAATGTGGTGCAACGATGCCTTGACATCAAATGGACCAATAAGCCATATATCGTGGCAGCGCACGTTAGATATTAGTGCTGACTTATTTTGCTGTCAAGCCGGTATTTACGACTAATTTCGGCGGCGATTATGTTCCCACCGTCGGCGTGCTCGAAAACGTCATACGCGCGGCAGGAGCATTATCAGTATTGTCCTGCAACCGGCGGCAGTAATTTCGAGCTGCCGCCTCTGAATATCACCGTTCGACACTGGGAATAAGATTGTGATTTCCCTTACTGAACGTCGCCCGGAAGTATTGACAAGGAAATATCGTGTCGGTAGACTGACGCCAACAATCAACGGCCATTGACTTGAACACCGTATGCGCACTAACAATGATGTTCGCCCGGTCTAAACAAAACCCACAGTCTACCAGCGTCGCCGCCATATCCGAGGGCTATGCCCTGGAGTTACGGGGCGTAAGTAAATCCTTCGGGGCCACGCAAGCGGTTGCCGATGTCAACATTGATTTGCAGCGCGGCGAGATTTTGTGCCTGCTGGGCCCCAGCGGGTGCGGCAAAACCACCACCCTCCGCCTGATTGCCGGCTTTGACACCCCCGACAGCGGTGTTGTCAGAATCGGCAACCGCACGGTGTACGGCGGTGGCGCCAACGAGAGCCCGGAACGCCGACGCATCGGTATGGTGTTCCAGGAGGGTGCGCTGTTCCCGCATCTGACGGTTGAGCAGAACATTGCATTCGGTCTGCCGAGGGGACGCCAGCGCAAACAACAAGTCGCTGAGTCGCTGCGCACGGTGGGCCTGGAAGGCTACGGCGAACGGTATCCCCACGAACTGTCGGGCGGGGTGCTAGAGCAGCAGCACGATTGCCTGGCCGGGGAGAGAGTCGCTCCATTGGACTCCCGTAGCGCTGACCTGATCCTGATGGACGAGCCGTTTTCCAGCCTGGACCCGGGCCTGCGGGACCAACTGCGTCAGGATGTGGCCGCCATCCTGCGCGCGCGCAACGCCACCGTGGTTTGCGTGACTCACGACCAGGAAGAAGCGATGCAGTTGGGCGATCGCGTGGCGGTGATGCAGGACGGGCGCATCGAGCAACTGGGCTCGCCGGAAGAGGTGTTTCACCATCCTGACACCCAGTTTGCGGCCGAGTTTTTCGGCACGGCGGACTTGTCCGTGCCGCGTGGCGGATGGCCAATATCGTGCCAGCGAGTTGGGCCGCGTGCCGTGGCCGGGTCTTGCCTGTCATAAACCGGCCAGCAGTTGCATGTCTATGATTCCGCCGCCGACTGCGTGGAGCATCTGCACCGCCGACGATGCTGCGCGCCGGTGTGGTGCTGCATACGCGGAGTTCGTGCGCGTGTCCGCGTATCAATACACACCGTGGCCACTGCTTCGGGACACCGGGTGCGGGTGCTGAAGTCCCACCTGGTGCACCTTGATCCGGGCACCCGTGTTGGGCTGATGGAGGTCGATGTAAGCTGCAGGGTCACGAGCGGCAGTGCAGCCGTTCGTCGACGGCATGGCGCAGGGATAGCTGCCGGGTCGGGTTGGTGGGGGCGACGTGCGTTGCCCGTCCCCGGATGGTGAGTTTGAGCAGCATGTGAGGATGATCTTTCGACGGGCTCACGGTGATCCTTCGACAAGCTCAGGATGAACGGGAGTGGTTTGGGTGGTGCTTCGGTACGTTCAGGATGATCCTTCGACAGGCTCAGGACCGAACGTTGTTGGTGGTGCTTGTGTACTGGCTCAGGGTGTGGTCCTGTTGACTGGTCAGATGATCCTTCGACAGGGTCATCAGGACGAACGGGTTGATGGTGTGGGTGGTTCTTTGTTAGGCATCTCTGGTGTTTCCTCCTTGACGGTGTCGGAGTGATCCTTGTAGCGACAAGCTCAGGACGACGGATTTGATTGGTGGTGCGCTTTGGTTAGGCTCAGCAGGTTTCCTGTTGAGCGGGGTCAGGAGATAGATCCTTACGACAAGCTCCTGGACGACCGATAATGGTGTTGTAGGGGTGGGGTGCTTTGGTAGCGTAAGGGGTATGGTCCCATTGGGGCGGTATGCTCAGGATTATACGAGCATAGGTTCTGCAGGCCCGGGGCAATTGGAGTATAATTTTTCCATTCCCAGCGGGGTGTGTCGCCCCTTTCCAAGAGAGCAACTTTGCCATTACCGTCCTCTCAATCCTTTTCCTTCCCCATCCTGCACTCCGTACGGGTGGCATTGGGCCACTATTGGTCCGAAAGATTGTCTCCGGTTACGGAGAACTATCTGCTGTCGCTATACAAGATGTGGGAAGACGCGGACATCCCCACACTGACCCAGCTTACCGAGGCGTTGAGGCAGTTGCCGCCGACCGAGGGATTGGGGACTTCGGTGCCGTCGGTGGCCGGGATGCTGCGGCGGATGCAGAAGCAGGGCCTGGTTGACATTGGGACCGACAAGCGCATCCGCCTGACCAGTCGGGGGCAGACCGAGGGCGAGAACATTGCCCGGCGGCATCGCTTGGCCGAGTGGCTGGTGGTGAGTTTGCTGGGGATGGAGCTGCACGAAGCCCACATTGAGGCTCACCAGTTGGAGCACGGGATGTCCGCGGCGCTGGAATCCAGGCTGATGGAACGGCTGGGGAACCCGACCCGCTCGCCTTTTGGCTGGCCGATACCGGGGACCGAGGGGTTCGCATCGGGGCCGGCGCCGGGCGCGGTTACGCTGGACAACGCCACCAGCGGTGAAACCTACATGGTTGACCGGGTGCCCGAAGAAGACGCCGAATTGCTGAAGTTCCTGGGCGCGGCCGACCTGGTGCCTGAGCACCAGATTACCCTGCTGGAAGCCCTGCCGTATCTGGGGGTGATGCAGGTTGCGACCGAGGTTGACCGCATTTCCATCGGTTACAACGTGGCGCGTCAGATAGTGGTGCGCCCGATGCCCACGCCAGTGGACGGGGACACCGTTTAGGACTCGTCCTGGAGGTTGCGTCGCACCTGGGCCCAGCCTTCTGCCATGGGACGGTCTGGCAGGTCTGGTTGGTCGGGGTTCGGGAGCACCTTGACGGCAACCAGCGTCGGCCCGGTCTGCTGCATGATTTCTTCCAGGCCGATCAGCAATTCTTCCAAGTCATCGAACCGGCGGGTGTGGGCGTAGCCGGCGCTGCGGGCCATGCCCTCAAAATCAATCTTGTCCAGACCGGGGATGGGGACGCCGGCGGTGGAAGTGTGGTCGGCGTCTTCGAGGACGAAGTGGACCAAGTTGGCGGGAGCGGCTTCGCCGATGGTGGCGAGACTGGCCAGGTCGGTGCGGAGGGTTGAGTCGCAGTCGAGGACCAGTACGCGGCGGGCCGGTTGCGCCAGCGACAGACCGAGACCGACGGCGGGGGCGCGATCCATGCAGTCGGTGAGGTCGACGTCAAGCTCACGGCGCTGCGAAACGGTGTGCCAGTCGCGCAGGGCGGCGGAGGTTGAGACCACCAGGGCGTCGTTGCGATGGAAGTTGATTGCTCGTGCGACTTCTTGGGACGGAATCAAATCTGATCCTCAGTGCTGGGATTGGGAGGTAGAACTGTGTTGCGTTCCCGCCCGATTTCGGAGCGGCGACCGGATACCATGAGAAAGAGGCCAGCCAGTATTAGCACTCCGCCGGGCACCGCCTTGAGCACGTTGCTTTCGACGAAGCCGAGCCACAGGAGGTAGAAACCGACCACGACCACTGCGGAGGCGAGAAGACGGGAGAGGATGTTGCGGACTACAAAGTTTATCATGGGGGGTTTTGCATAACCGTGGTTGCGGCGTAGGCGATGGGCGCACCGTTGCGATGGTCGTTGCGTTCAAGCCGGGATTGCCGCGTCGCTTCGCTCCTCGCAATGACAGATTAATGCTGTGCTGCTCGCAATGACGGGTTGGGCAACGGTTTCCAGAGGCTCCTGCGTCCCACTTTGTCATTGCGCGCGTGGCGTGGCAATCCCGTGGCCGTAGCAATGGCGGTTCGCCGGCTTGTGTTTAACCTTATCGGGATTGCCACGTCCCTCGACTAGCTCGGGATGAGCGGGCGCTGCTCGCAATGACAGATTGTGTAATGGTCCCTTGATGACAGGCTGTGAAACGGTCCCCTGATGGCAGGTTACGCAATGGTTTCCGGAGGCTCCTGCGTCCCACTTTGTCATTGCGCGCGTGGCTTGGCAATCCCGTGGCCGTAGCGATGGCGGTTCGCCGGCTTGTGTTTAACTTCATCGGGATTGCCACGTCCCTCGACTAGCTCGGGATGAGCGGGCGCTGCTCGCAATGACAGTTTGTGTGATGGTTTCCGACCTCGCGATGGGAGGTTGCGCGATGGTTTCCAGAGGGGGAAGGGATGACTTCTGGGGGTTGTTGCCCTCTCCCTAGCCCTCCCATCGAGGGAGGAAGGATTTCGGAAGTCCGTTTAGTCGGCGGAGAGGGCGGAGGTTACTTCGGAGTAGGCTTGTTGGGCGCTGCGGGTGCCGCGCACGCGGAACTGGACGGGGGTGTTCTCGATTTCCGGTTCTACCACCAGGTGGATGAAGACGGGGCCCTCGGCAGCGAGGGCTTCGTCGATGCCGTTGGTAAGGTCTTCAAGGTTGTCGTAGGAGAAGACGGCGGCGTAACCCGCCCCTTTTGCGACTTCGGTCCAGTCGGTGACGCCATCCGAGCCGGGGATGGGCTGGCCGCCGGTAACTGCATAGACGCCGTTGTTGAACAGGAAGTGGTAGAAATTTTTGGGCTGCTTGGTGGAGGTGGTAACCAGAGAGCCCAAGTTCATGAGGAGGCTGCCGTCGCCGTCGAGGACGAACACCTTGCGGCCAGGCTGGGCCAGGGCGACGCCCAGGCCGACGTTGCTGGCCTTGCCCATTGCGCCGGAGATGGGGAGGTCGAGGTTCTCGTTAGTGGTTACGGTGGGCAATCCGAAGCTGACGTTGCCGGCGTTCATGGTGGGGATGATTACGGCGTCGTCGCGCTTGCTGTCGATGATGCGAACGGCGTCGGTGTTGTTAATCATGTGGGTGTCTCCTGGAGGCGAGGGCAACCATAAGAGTTATCCCTACGGGTTGTTTTGGGTTGGGTGTGATGCTTCGGTTACGAGCCGAATTCGGTGCCGATGAGCACGCCAACGGGCCGGTTGAGGCGCCCGGCTTCTTCGAAGGCAATGCTGATGCGATCGGCGTCGTCGTCGGTTTCGACCAGGTAGTAGTTGATACCCCAGGCGTGGAGGATATGTTCAATGAAACGGCCGGCAGAGTCGGGAGTGGGGCCGCGCCGGGTCCAACCACGGTAGCCAATGAGCATTACGAGGGGCTGGTTCAGGTCAAGGCTGAGGCCGCGGATTGAGTCGCCGGCCTCGAAGATGCCGGTGTTCTGGATGAGGACGACGGGTTTGGCGCCACCGACCCACAGGCCAGCGGCGACGGCCATGGTTTCGCCTTCGCGGCACACCGGAACCAGGTCCAGGGTGGGCTCTTCCATCATCATATTATAGAGGAAGTTGGTTTCGCTGTCCGGGAGCCAGACCACGTGCGAGACGTCGTTCTTTTTGAGTTCATTTACAAGGGAAGCTGGGTGAAGTATGGATTCGTGGACTTCCGTGGTCATTATCGCGACTCCTTGAGCGAAGTGGGAATGATTGCAGTGTCAAATGAATTCGCTGGCATTATATGGTGTGGGTATTTGGGCGTCAACGGGCGTGGTTCTTCGGGGGAAGGGGAGTGGCCCTCACCCCCGGCCCCTCTCCCGGAGGGAGAGGGGGGAGCGGTTTTGCGGTGGGGTGGTGCGGCGGGATTGCCGGGTTGGTGCGTTGGCACGTGTTCAACCTCATCGAGATTGCCACGTCGCTACGCTCCTCGCAATGACAGGTTAGAGTGGGTACGCGCGGCGGTGGGGGTGGGGTTGCGGAGCCAGCGTTTGTGATGGCGGACTGGCGTGGGGTGTCCGGCGATGATGTGGTCGCAGGCGGTGACGAGTCGGACGACGCGACGGCAGACACGACGTGTTGCGACGCGGGCGACATCGGGACGGCGTCCGTTATCGGGCTGGTGTCCGGCGAGGAAGCTGGGCAGGGAATGGGTAAGTCGGAAGGTTTTGAGGTGGGAGCGACTGAGCTGTTCGGCGAAGATGTAGAGGTGCAGGACGATTTCGAGTCTGCGACGGGAATTGTGCGGAAATTCGGTGAGCATGGCGATGGCGGTGATGCTGTGGGAACTGGCGCGGCGCAAGTGGTCGGCGGCGTTGACGTAGTCGTTCTCGGCGATGGCGTTGGGGGCGCGCTGGAGGTATTGATGGCTGGTGGATTGGTGGTGGCTGATGGTTCCGATTGAGATTCTCCGATGGTTTCGATTTGTGATGGTCTGGACTTTGCGATGGTTTGGATTTTGGGAATGTGGGGGAGGGGTTTCAGGTCTTGGTCGGCGATACGGCCAGGGGATGCAGATTATGTCCTACCCGGTGAAGACGGGGCAGGATCCCAAGTGGAACGCATTGACTTGGACCTGGCCGCCGGCGAGTTCCCCACCGGATTTACCCTGGTGGGCGAGGACCTGTACGCCCGTTGGGCCGCCATAAACAACCGGATCGGCGGCGAGTGATGAGCAACAGCTGGGTACAACGCGTCAGCGGATCCACGCACTCGGCTTGTCACACCGACCGGCGCCAGGATGGCAGTTGTTCACTGGATATGCGCGGCGTTCCCCGATGCAACGTGCTTTTGAGCCTGGAACATCGGGCCTCGCCGATTCCAACGGGATAGCGTCGGTATGAGTTTCTGTTCGTTGCTGCCGACGGGCACGGAAGCGGACGGCCGGCGTCATCAACTCCCGCACCGTCCGCGCCGCCGACCCCCTGGCCGACTGGCTGACCATGCACCCCCTGCGGGGCGTTCCCCAGGCGCCGCTGTTCGTGCAGCTCCACCGGTCTGGGAGTTGTCCCACCCTAGCAGCCCGTCCGAGAAACACGACTGGTGAGTCTGTAGGGGTATGATGGGTGGAGTTCATTAGCGAGGAGGCGGCGATGAGCAAGACCTACCTTCCCTACGATCCCGATCAGCAGTTGTTGCTGCCGGCGGCCCTGCAGGAGTGGCTGCCCGACGACCATCTGGCCTACTTCATCTCGGACGTGGTGGACCAGTTGGACCTGTCGTCAATCACCGCCCGCTACGAGGGAGAAAGGCGGGGTGGCCCGCCTTACCATCCTCGGATGATGGTCAAGGTGCTGCTCTACGGCTACTGCGTCGGGGTGGCGTCATCACGGCGCATTGCCCAGCGGCTCCACGAGGACATTGCCTTTCGGGTGCTGGCGGCGAACAACACGCCGGACTTTCGCACCATCTCCGACTTCCGCAAGGACCACCTGGCGGCGCTGTCGGGGTTATTCCTGCAGGTGCTGGCGTTTTGCCAGCGGGTGGGGCTGGTGAAGTTGGGTCATGTGGCGCTGGACGGCACCAAGGTCAGGGCCAACGCATCCAGGCACAAGGCGATGAGTTATCGCGGATGAAAGAGAAAGAGGCGCAGTTGGCGGCGGAGGTGGCGGAGTTGCTGCGGCGGGCCCAGGAGGTCGATGACGAGGAGGATCGCAGGTACGGCCAGGATAAGCGCGGGGATGAGTTGCCGGAGGAGCTGGCCTTTCGGGAGGGACGGTTGGAGAAGATACGGGAGGCCATGGCGGCGTTGGAAGCCGAGGCCCAGGCGGCGGCTGAGGCGGAAGGCAAGGAGCATCTCGGGGTGCCCGACGACAAGGCTCAACGCAACTTCACCGATGCCGAGTCCCGCATCATGCCCGGGCCGGGCGGTAGGGACTTCCTGCAGGCGTACAACTGTCAGGCGGTGGTTGACCACGCCCACCAGGTGATCGTGGCGGCCCGGGCCACCAACCAGTCCTCGGACAAGCAGCAGGCCTGCGGCGATGATGCAGGAGACCATCGACAACGTCGGTGCAGTCCCCCGGGAAGTATCCGCCGACGCTGGCTATTACTCGGCAAAGGCAGTCGACGAGCTTTATGCTCTGGGCGTGGACCCGTTCGTCGCGCCGGAGCAGACCCGCCACGGCAGAGTGGTTCCGCCGGCGCCCCGAGGGCGCATACCCAAGCACCTGTCCCCCAGGGACCGGATGCGCCGGAAGTTGCAGACCAGGCGGGGCCGCCAGCGTTACGCCCTGCGGATGGAAACGGTGGAGCCGGTCTTCGGCCAGATCAAGGCGGGCCGGGGCTTCCGGCAGTTCCTGATGCGGGGCTGGATAAGGTCCAGGGCGAGTGGTCCCTGATCTGCACCGGCCACAACCTGCTCAAGCTGTTCCGCTGCGGCCGACTGGCCCCCGGATGAGCATGGGCCACCCGGCTAACCGAGCGCGTGGGATGTCCACCCCACCGGTTGGGAACGACGTCCCATGCCCAGAGCCTCCCAGAGTGAGCATCGTCAACCGGCAGGAATAATTGACGCCGATCGATCGCGGCTTGCCCGGGGAGACTAGTTAGCCAATACTCGGACTCGCTCCTAGCGCGGTTATCCGGATGAGAGTGGCACGGCGCATTGCTCTGTGGGGCGAGCAGGTTGGGCCAGCCCGGGCGCTCTCCGGCCACAGCACCCGCCGCGGCGCCGCCACCGACACCTCCCGGGCCGGAGCGGGCATTGCGGATGCTTGCATCAGCTGGGTCTGCTGGTATCTCACCGCCATGCCCGCCCACTACGTGGCCAACGCCGACGCGCTGCTGCACCACCCGCTGCCGGGCGTGTAGAACCGCTTTTCGTTGCGATCGCCAACGGTCCACCGGGCCAGTAGGCAACTTTTCGGGTTTACCGGGTCAAAGTCCTGGGACCTCGAATGACCGTGCCTGTCGGCCAGTCAGGCCGTATCGGGCGGGTCATCCAAGTGACTATTCCAAATCTCATACATTTCGTCTAAGTCGGGCAGGTCCGGGGGGTAGGGCTGTCCAGTCAGATCGGGCAGCTCATTTGGGTCGGGCGGCTCGGTCGGGTAGATGATCTCGTATCGGTCCACGATCGCGGCTATTTCGCCTGCATCGGGCTCGACGTTTCCAGAGAAACTGTCGGCCAAGTCGGCCGCAGCTAGTGGATCGTCGGAATCAGGCCACCCCATACCGGTTCCCCAGAGGACATGAACGTGATTCGATCCAACCTGGTTTTGCTGCGCATGACGCGATCGTAGGTACTGGTGACCTTGTGCGCCCCCGCGCTCGGCTTTTTACAATCAAGCGGCATAGGCTAGCGTGTCGAGCATCCTGTGGTACAAGAGGCGCGGGACTTTTATCGATTCGTGCTCGCGCTCGGACGGCATAAAAGTTCCCTGCTGCACCCAGAGGTGTCGTCTGACCATGGCGATGGCGATGGCGTCGGCGAAGGAAGGGCTGGTTTTGTCATACCACGCCGCGGTGCGCGGCGCCATGCCGCCACGCTGTTCGATCAGGATATCCGCTGCCAGCGTCACCACGCTGAACAGGCCAAAGAGCGCGGGGGTGGTTCGGGCGATGGCTCGTTCCGACCACTGGCGCTGGGTTTCCATGCCCAGGTGAGCCCGCAGCTCCTCAAAGGTCACCTCGACCTGCCACCGCAGCAGATACCACTGCAGTATCCGCAGGGGTTCCGCCGCGGTGTCGGTGCATAGCAAAGCATAGGGCCCGCGGCGCTCCGCCAGGTATCTGATGACGACCCAACGTATGGGAAGGCGCGGCGGCCCGCCGTGGTACCACAGCGCTACGCCCGAAGCGAGCTCGACCATGGCGGTACTGCCGTCGGAACCGGTGGCGCGGTAGGGAATCCATTGTGTAGCGGGATCGTCCAGCACCGCCGTGGGACTGGGCAATCGCGCGCCGACCACCCGGGGCCGCCCGATCTGGCCGGGCCGCCGCGGTGGCGCGGGCTGGTACCGGGACGCGTCCTTGCGCAGTTTGGTGACGACGACAATCGGCTTTGACATACTCTGGCAATGCCGCAGGAACTCGCGCTTGGCGTAGCCGCCATCGGCCACCACCACCAGGTCCCTCTCCGGCAGCCACCGGCGCAGGCAGACCAGCATCTGCTGGGCGTAGTCGGTGAACGTCTTGTGCCGGCGACCTTTGCGCCGGTCGTAGCGGGCCGACACCACCAGCGCGGTCAAAAACGGCAGCGCCCAGTGTCGACCCGCCCATCCGATACGCGTCAGCAACATCAGGCTCACCCATTGCAATCCGGGGGTCATCACCACCTGGTCGTCGGTGGACCGCACCGGATCCCGATACCGCCCCTTGGCCGCAATCTTCCGGCCCCAGCGTCGTTCCACCGTCTCGTCAATGCCGAACACCAACGGCTCGGTGGATGAACCAAGGCGCCCGGCCACCAGCAGCAACAGCACCCGGCTCAGTTGCAGCGGCGACCATCGGGCACGGTTGAGCACGTGGTGATAGATGGCGAAGTCGCCGTGCTGCCCAATCCCCAGGATGTTGAGGGCGGAGGACACGGTGCGTTTGCCGGGAGACAGGATCGCTCCCATGGCCAGGAGTTGGGCTTTGCGCCAGGTCCTGGGGTCAAACAGGCGCTCAAAGGGCAGCAGCAGGGTTACCATGACTGCGGGCAGGGTAGGCATGCTCGACCTCTTGTGGTGATTTGGTC